CATAAATGTTTAGACTAAATAGCTTAAATCTCATAACATTATATGTTTATATATATATATATATTTATCATTTATGGTATATTGACTTTTTAGCCGTGCCTGGCTAACAATACAAAAGTTACAGTGATGCGGCACACATGTTCTCATGTTACCATATCCAATAATATAAAACTGACTTAGTCTTTACAAAGTGACCTGTCTTGGCTGTATTTTAGTAGACTAGTATTTTGTAAAATACAGTCACATTTCAATTATTATACATTATATATGTATATAGATTATTGTTATTTAGAAATGAGTTCTTAAACTTTTTTTTCTTAAAACATAGAACAGTAAATAAAAAAAGTAAAGCAAATGATTATCTCCTCAAGTTATGACCTTTGTACTCAGTTGCTGCTTGATGTAGGTTGCTAAACGTATTAAAAACTTGCGTGTGGAGGATATGAAACAAAATAATCTTTTTTAGATTTTAGATATTCAGTTGAATAACCAAAAAATCATAAATTACTACATCAATACCATAGAATTCCTCTATAATTTATCAAAATTAGTAACCAAGCTGTGTTTGGGTCTAAAAACATATAAAATTTTGAGCAGACTAAAGACACAAACTACCTCATTGAAATATTGGTTCAAAAGAATGAGATGGTATCCTAACACATGAAAATGGCTAGGAAAGTCACTAGGGGGAAATTCTTATGTTTTGAGTGGTTATCCGCATGTCATATATTGAAGTAATTGTACATAAGGGACTGTTTACAAAAATTGAAATAGGTGAGCGGGGCCACTGTGTTTGATTCAGTACATGAGTGATATCTCGGGAAATAGAAAAGATATGAAGTTCTTATTTTATATTCTAGTTTGTCAATATCAGTAACTTGAGTTCCTAATTTATACAAAACTATAGACTTAGTGTTTTGACTTCACAAACATCTAATTTGAATCAGTGCTGCATTCAACATACCACATGACATGCATCAATCGATGATTAACTTTTTATTTACTTTTAAATTAAGAAATTGAGTAAGATATAATACTAAAATTTGAATTATAATCTACAGTTTGGTACCAAAGTTATTGACATAAGTTCATGAAATAATAGTTTAATGAAATTTTGAATGTGATTTAACAAACGCGATGACATAGACTTTGACCTGTGACCCGTCTGGAGAGGGTTAACATGTACAAATTTTGTAATGGCCTTGCTCAAAGCATATCACTTATTCTCTTTGGACATGCTTTGAAACAAGACTTGTTCATACTGGCATTGGCACCTAGAATAAAAGTTTTAATTTATTTTTGCTAACAGTAAAAATAATTGGGTGGGGGGGATGTTTAAAATTGCAAAGTTTTATGAATATTTTTGTGCTGAGACTTGGGGGGGAAGGCTAAATATTGACACAAAAAATTGCCAAGACTCATCCCTGAAACGTTAACTGTATACAGCTCAGTCATTTTGACCCAACTTGCAATCACCATGTAACCATAAAAGTACTATAACTTTTAATGTAGTAAGTGTGTCTTCAGGAAGCTAGTCAAGCTTTTAGTAAAAATTACAAGTCTTTTGTATACAGAAAATCAGATTTTTTAATTATTTTTACTAAAGACTTGTCTGTGAACTTAGGTGAACAATGACTCAGCTTCTGACTTGTCTGAGTGCAAGGTGATTTTCATGTTAAGATTAAAAATACTTTTTTCCTCTTAAAGATTTCAAATTTTATTTGCATATCTTCTAGGATCCTCTACATTAATATCATTTTTTTTAGTAACACTATACATACTCAGTACATTTGATTGACATTGTAACCACCAGACAAAGATATGAAATTAGCCAAAATGACCCTTTTTTTTTTTCTTTCTAGAATGATTGTAGATTGTAACAGAAAATTACAATTGTTTGTTCTAAACGGCCTTGGGCTCATAAAATTTTACATCTATTTTTATTTATTTTTTATTGTTTATCACTCTTTGAACCATACACAACTAACAACCTGCATTACAAGTTGTAAAAACATGGAAAGTGTGTAGTTCAAGTTGAATTTCTTATCGCACTTGTAGCTTTTATGCAGACCTTGCTGAGAATTTTTTTTTTATATAACTTTTCATTTATGTTTTCTTTGGTAACCTTATAAATTTCTAGTGTTTATATTTTATTTACTTTTATAACAGTAAATAAAAAATGAGTAAAAAAAAAGCAATTTAGTACTTATCTCTGGCCTGTTTTCTTTTTTTTTATATTAAGTGAAGTTATTTTTATTTATATCAAATAATGAACTAAGATAACAAAATAATAACATGCACAAAGCATACAATGTTTACAACTTTTATAATTTCATTATCTTTTTAATTAATAAGTGCCTTAAGATAATTCACTTGCCTGGTCAATGTGAACTTATTGATTACAACAATGAAACTGTTGACCATATAACTCAAACACTGTCATAAGAATGAATTATCCTTATGTGGAAATCAGAAAATCAAAATCTTCTTTTCCTATGGGTTATAAATAATCCAAGATAAAACATCATGGAGAATTGTTCACATTATATGAAAGACAGGATGTGATAGGACAGTATGGCAAGTGGGTTTGACTTTCTGGTTTATATTTCTATAAACTAAGAAGATTGGAGGCTATAAAATTAGACTATGTCTTAGTAATATCTGTACCATAAATGTGTAATTTATGTTAACTTGGGACATCATATAGGAACGATGAGAAAATTGAAAATGGGCAAATCTGAATGAATAAGTGTCATGTGAGACAGACAAGTGAAGATTGAGAATTTATTTAAATATATATAAACTATATAATATTAAAATTAACTGGGTTTTGAGGCAAAGTTTATTGATATACTTTGATAATATTAAAAGTAGTCTAATTAAACTTTGGATCTAACTGTGTGAAAAGTTGCGACTTGCATTTTATGTAAAACCGGGCATTCTGTGCAAAATTAATGTTCTACATGAAGTTAAACTTTGTTTTTTCGAGCATTAAGATATAAGGTTTAAAAAGTGTAAACTGCAATTTAATGTGAATTAAAAAATAATAATTTTCTGACTGTATTTACTTGCTAAACTTCAGTATTAAACATCTCTCTACAGCCCAAATGATGCAGTAATTGGAGATGTTCTTGTGCTTACCAAACCATTAGGCACCCAAGTAGCAGTCAGTGCTTACCATTGGCTTGAACAGCAAGATAGATGGAACAGGATCAAACTAGTTGTCAGTGAGGAAGATGTGCACAAAGCATATCAACGAGCTATGGATACCATGGCTAGGTTAAATAGAACATGTAAGATTTTTTTTTTATGTCCACAGAAACATTTTATATTTTGTTTTTACTTAGATCTAACAAATATAAGAATTTGTATCAGATTATTGTAATCCAAAAAAGTATGAATATCTCATTATCTCTTAAAGGTGTGGTATGTAGGCATACCATGTACTTGCAACCCACCTTTTTTAATGTAGAATATTTCAGAATTTTATGTAGGTGTATGGAGTTTTAACAGTCAATCAAAGAAGGTGCTAGGTTCCTTTTGCCCTAGCTACCTATTGTTCTGGGTTATTTAACTAAGGTTCCACCTGTGTCTTATGGGAAAGATTTCTGTAAAGATGTACATTCTATGTGAAAGTAGACAAATCTTATTCACTGGCAGACCATTTGATATCTTGAGGATATAACCTTCCTTATTTTGTGATGGGTATGACCAACAGTCACGGATTTCTGTGTGGTATACAATGTTTTCTCAGTCTGGGAAAAAATGTACAGATTTAGAGAGATTTTGACAACCTGTTAGATCCAAACACACACACACACACACACACACACACACACACACACACACACACACACACACACATATATATATAAGAGAGAGAGAGTACTGTCTT